CGCCTTCAGCATGACTACCACCGCTACTCACAGCATCCAGACTGACGGCTCTCGTATTGTACATCGGCGTCCATATCGCGTGTCTCAGGCAGAACGCAAGATCATCGAGGAAAACATCTCAGACATGCTACGACGCAACATCATACGTCCTTCCTCGAGTCCCTGGTCATCCCCAGTTGTTCTCGTTCAAAAGAAAGATGGGACAGTGCGTTTGTGCGTCGATTACCGTGCGCTAAACAAAATAACGCGCAAGGATGTTTATGCCCTCCCTCGGATCGACGATGCACTGGATTCATTACAGGGCGCAGAGTATTTTTCCAGCTTCGACCTTAGGTCAGGCTACTGGCAGATACCAATGTCGGAGTCTGATAAAGAGAAGACCGCCTTTTCAACGCCAGATGGGTTGTACGAGTTCAATGTGATGCCTTTTGGACTCTGTAATGCGCCCGCCACCTTCGAACGCATGATAGACGGCGTATTGCGTGGTTTGAAATAGAAAACATGTCTGTGTTATCTCGATGACATAGTAGTGTTTTCATCCATGTTCTCGCAGCATCTACAACGTCTTGACGAAGTCCTCACATGCCTTGCAAAAGCCGGTCTACAGCTTAACACCAAGAAATGTACCTTTGCTAGCAAGACAATCAAGGTTCTCGGCCACCTTGTCAGCAAAGAAGGAATTCGGCCCGACCCCGAGAAGCTTGCTGCTGTCCTCGATTTTCCTCGTCCACTACGTCAGAAGGACCTGCGCAGCTTTCTTGGGTTATCTTCTTACTTCCGGCGCTTCATACGTAGTTTCGCGGAACTTGCGTCTCCGCTCCATCAACTCCTCGCAAAGAACGTCCCCTTCATTTGGTCCAAAGACTGCAAAAGCGCTTTCACGGCATTGAAGCAAGCCCTCACGTCGGATCCGATACTGTGCCACTTCGATTCCACCGCACCCACCATCCTTCACACCGAAGCAAGTAGTCATGGTCTTGGTGCGGTACTCTTGCAGCGTGACAAAACCTCACGCGAACGCGTCGTTGCTTACGCAAGTCGTGCTCTTACCGCTCCAGAAAAGAACTACACTATCACCGAGCAGGAGTGCCTTGCTGTTGTTTGGGCAGTGCAAAGATTCCGACCATATCTTCACGGCCGTCATTTTACCGTCGTGACCGACCATAACGCCCTATGCTGGCTTTCATCGCTGAAAAACTTATCGGGTCGCCTTGGTCGCTGGGCGCTTCGCTTACAGGAGTATGATTTCGATGTCGCCTACAGATCTGGGAAGAAGCATCAAGATGCTGATGCTCTATCGCGCTGTCCTTTGCCCAGCGGAAGGAATTCACCATCGATACTCCAAAACAACAGCACCTCTCCAATCGCAGTGCTAAGTTCATCACCTGCCACCCTATCCGTCCTTGTTTCACAACAACGTGTCGATCCATACTGCCGCACCATTGTTGACCGCTTGACCGGCTCTACTACTCCTCCAAACGCCAGACTCCGTCGACAACTTAAACAATTTAAGCTTGTCGGTGATGCTTTATGTCGCCACATTTGCCACATCGATGGCAACAAGTGGGTACCCGTCATCCCACGTTCTCTGCAACGTGAAGTTCTGGAAGCATTTCATGATGATCCAACCGCTGCTCATCTAGGCTGCCACAAGACTTACGACAAAATACGAAGTCGTTGTTTTTGGCCTGGCCTCTCTTCAGCCGTCGCTAAGTACGTCGCCTCCTGTGTCCATTGCCAACGGCAAAAACGACCGACAACTGCTCCGGCGGGCTCCGGCGGGCTTGATGCAACCTCTTCCTTGTCCCGCCTCACCTTTTGAAGTCGTTGGAATCGACTTGTATGGCCCTCTTCCTATATCGTCCAGTGGGAATCGCTGGATTGTCACGGCAGTCGACCACCTTACCCGCTACGCAGAAACAGCTTCTATACCATCTGGGACTGCCACTGAGATCGTCGATTTCTTTCTTCGCCATATCTTTTTGCGTCATGGAGCTCCATGCATTCTCCTCAGTTTTCGTGGCAAAGTCTTCCTATCTTCCATTGTCGAGCAAGTTTTGCGTGCCTCGAACACTGTTCACAAGACCACTTCTAGCTACCACCCGCAGACCAACGGATTGACTGAACGATTTCATCGGACCCTATCGGACATGATCGCCATGTACATTCACCCCAACCACACGAACTGGGATGCAATTCTACCCTTCGTGACATTCGCCTATAATATGGCTGCTCAACGCACTACCGGCTTTTCTCCATTTTTTCTCGTCCATGGTCGCTCGCCGAGTTTCGCTCTGGATGTCTCTTTCCTTTCGGCCCCTGCACCCTCGACGGCTCCTTTCTCTGAAGAATTCCTATCTCGTCTCACACACTGCCGTCACCAGGTCCGTGTTAACACCGGCCTCTCTCAAGACACTCGAAAATCTCGCTACGACTCGTCTCGCCGTGTTGTGAGTTTTTCCCCTGGTGACGAAGTTCTTCTATGGACTCCACTACGCGTCCCCGGCCTATGCGACAAATTCATCAGTCGCTTCATTGGGCCATACACGGTGGTCGAACAGACATCTCCTGTCAATTACCGCGTTTCTCCTCTTAGCGCTAGTCCTGATCATCGTTGCCGTGGAACAGAGATAGTGCACGTATCTCGTTTAAAGCCTTATGCGCGACGCATTTCATAATACTGTCAAGCGACCAGGCGGCCGCTTTCACCGCGCGGGGGAATTAGTGTGAGCGCGACAAGCGAATGACTCTTTATTCTCTTTGTAATCATCATCACCTGTACATCTTCTTCATTTAGGAATATCATCACCGGCGTGATTGAGCTCGAGCCTGGCCGAATAAACCGGTTCCTCACAATATTATTGTTATCCTACTATTTTTCCTTTTGTAACTTCGCTTGATTTCTACGACTCAGCATGGTCCTTATACACTTCGTTGAGAAACCCCGGAGCCTGAGTAAATATCTATCGAAGTCAAAGGTCACAACCAATAGCTCCACATTTAATTAGAAAAATCCAAGGGTTAGCGTGGTGTAAAAGTGGGAACAATCAGCCAATTTGTAAAAGAGAAACAGAGGCATAAGTACTTGCACTAAAAATGCATTACCTAAACAGATACTCAAAGAAGAAACAAACTACCTCTGTACAACAGTACCACCACACGAAAGTTGCGAATACTGTATGCACAGCCTGTTCTTGCAACTCACGAGCAGTTTAGTACTTGACACATGTAAATAACCACTTGTGGCAAGGAAAACCTTGCACAGCTGATGATTAGAGAACACAGAAAGCTTTCGTCAACTCACCAATGCTCGCGAGGTGTGCTTTAGTAGCGTGAGTGCTGACGAGCAGTGCGGAAGTGTTCCGTATTCGATACGAAGCCATCAGGTACTCAGGTGGTCGTGAACTCTTTCAAGTGATACCAGGAGATCTATAGCCCTTCGTACCCCATTGATAAAATTTTAATAAATCTTATTTTTCTCTATAATCAGTATCATTGCAGACGTGTGACCAAACAGATTACTTTTCTTGAACGTTACTTTTGCCAGCATGATGATACGCGATATCATCACATAAGCACACACTCATTTAAGTTTCGAAAATATGAGGACATCACATTCGTTCAAACATGCTCACCATGCAAACATATGTAGTGGCAAAACTGCTCTTATACGCATGAATTAGTAGGGTGGTTTTAAGCCCGAGATATCCAACAAAGCAATCCCTCGACCTCGCCAACATGCTTTGCGTACTTTTGCACTTCTTAATTATCTCGTGACACCAGCTTTCTGATTATGTTCATTCATAGCTCAATAAAACTTTGAAGACGCATTTCCTACGTTTAGAAATCACAGGATTGAATTGAACTGCTTGGCCATTACTGGACTGCGAATGCGCTAATTTTTTTTCATTCTGAGTAATGAAAAGTAATAGAATTGTGGCTAGTCCTGATTCCCCGGAATGGAATTAGAATAGATTTGAGGCCCATGTTCTACTACAATGGCGTGAAATACTGTTAACGAGCGAAGAAGTGACGGGACACAGAAAGATGCTTAATTGCAACTAAGATTTATTCTAGAAAACGCACGCATAAATAAAAAACCACAACATATCAGTGGTTCTGTGCAAATACTTATAAAGCAATGTCTTGTGAAGTCGATCGCAGTGGAGCAATTTGTATGATTCTCGGCTTCTGACCGATGGTCACGGGGTCGATCGTAGCCTTGGCGGTCGCATTAAAAAGGAGGCGAAACGGTAGAAGCCCATGCGTTGTGCGATGTCGAAAATTTTGACGTATGATTAGAAATTTTGTTGCTCTTCACTACGGCACCTAATAATATAATCCAGGTTTGACAACGTAAAACTCCAGATCTTAATGCTAATGTCTTTTGCAATTAGGTATTTTAACCAATGACGTCCTTTCAATAGACGTTGTGAAGTTCTGATAGGCTGAATGCATGCTCAATATGAATCCCTGATTTACGACGAATGTTTTCCATCCCATGCGGCACTTTATGGCTCAAGTAGCTGATGTTTTCAGTCGCGCCATCGTGCGATTGTTTTTGTCTACAACCAAAGTAAAACAGCGCAGTTATTTCTAGATTATTTGCCTGTTAGAACAGTGAAATTTTACAAGTGTTTATTTTCACTGTTGTTTTAGGGGAAGCCATAAAAGCTGATTTCGAACAAAAAGGCGCGTGCTTTATACCAAAAGCAGTCTTCAAGGGAAACCATGACGCTCTACCGACAATGGCCGTCTGCAAAAAAGCATGAATCTGCGAGTTTGATTACTTGCCACAGGGGCTACATTGTAATAAGTAAATGGTTCGAAGCACGGGCGGTTATATTAAACGTTCGTTATTGAGGTACAAGCTTTACACTACTTTGCCCTTTTTTATCTTCGTCGGAATACGCTTTAGAATATCAGTCAGCGCGTCAACCGATGTCACGCGACTCAGTTCTTTCCAAAATAATCACAGTGTTGTGATTTATTATGTGCAGGAATTCGTCATGGGCTTGTCGGTGCTGTCGCGTGGTTCGCCGCAAGAGAAGCTCCAGTGGGCATTCAATCTTTATGACATCAACAAGGATGGTGCGGTGACTCGCGACGAAATATTTGAGATAGTATCGGCTGTTTACAGTCTGTTAGGGCATTGCGCGGCACCACATCCTGAGGACCAGTCTGCAAGGGAGCACGCCGCAAGAGTCTTTCAGGTAAGCTACCTGTCCCTGTCTCTTTTTTCTTGTTTTAGTTTCTTCGACTTCATTTGGTGGTGCTGGCATTCCTACGAAGACTGAAGTATAGAAGCTACTGTCAGACGCATGAATAATTTTGCGTTAGATGTACTGAGATAGAAAAAAACGACATATCCCAGGCCCTGCAAGAATTGAATCAACGCGATGTAGCCAGCAAAGCACTCTGTTTGTCTTTGAGCCAAATGACGTTATCCAAGTCAAGTTATGTAGTGCATAGAACACGCTTGTGATGCGCGCATGCATGTACATTGAAATATAGATCGTACAGACAGCTGCCCCCGAAGAAACATTGAGTGAATTCTTTGCCATGTGCCTTTTTCAGTGAGAAAATCCCTTAACCACACACCTTCTTTTTATATTTTTATTGCGAAGAGCAAACAAAGTAACAAAGTTCTTTTTGGCTACAATGTGGTTCTTCTTGAAACTGGGAAGATTCGAATAATCACACAAACCTAAAGCTTTTCTTTAAATCTTTGACCAAAGTTTTTGCAGCCATAAGAATCTTGAAAACATTGGTGACCGCGTGCGTAAAAGCGCTTCTTTGCTGGCGCTCACGAACCACGAGCTTAGTTAAGTGAATAAAAACCAATACCACAGGCTTTGCAATCATTTTACGAGTTCAACGGTACCCTCGTGGTACATGTGATCACAAAATAGTGTCTGTATATAGTAAAATGTTCTATGTATTGAAGTTTAGGCGAAGTCTACCATAATCTCGTGTTTCTCGTTTTCCTCCTCTTTGTCTTGATTTGCCAGAAATGAAACCTGTTATGCCCTACACGAGCTAACAAGTTTCCGCCTTAACTGTCTCACTATACAATAATGGCACTTTATTCGGTCTTTTTCAACTTATCGTGTGTAAAAAGTGTGCTAAGTCACTTGAGGTTTATTAATAGCAACTCTAATATTGTGCTGCCACTGACTGGGATCCTGCTTAAGCATTGAAGATCTGTCCATTCAAAAAGAAGTCAGGATAACCCAGGTAACCTATTGCGCAACCGTGACTGATCTGTTCGCGTGTTTCACGGCCTGCAGGTGACGCATCTAGTCTTACAAAACAGCGCCCAACTAAATTCCCTTTGAAACCGTGCTTCTGTGTCATGCTGAAAACTCGCTGCCACCTCTCTTTCAACATGTCCTCCACTTTGTAACAGGGTTTAGCGCTGTACAACTTAGCTATCATGGCTGTTTTTTCCTATACAGCTCTTTCATAACAATGTGGCATCTTCCAGATCAGTGTTTTCTGGATATGCACTTTGGCGCTTGGTGCCAATTGGACAAAGTTCAGGGCCAGATAAAAAAATCATCGTAGTGCCGCACCACTTATGCCATGTAGGGCAGCGAAGGCATTTGAAAGTGGGCAGCAAAATAGCCCTATTAGTTTCTTATATTTTATCAATATCATATTGTTACGGGGTCAGTGACTTCTGTATAAACGCAATTACAACCTCAGGCGAGAATCACAATGGCTGATTGACACACTCGCGTGCCTGTCAGCTGATTATGTCCTTCATCTTTCTTTACTTCGTAACAGAACCCCCTGGCGTTGAGAGCACCGACTCGGTGCGAGTCTGAAGAAGTGCTACAGAAGTAGGGTTTCATGCGCGAAACATGAACAATGTCAACACGTGACGAACTTGGTGACGTATTGGAGTGCAATAGTGCTATCTCGTAGTTGACGTCACTAACTTGACGTAAGACTAATTAGGGTCCTGCGTATCGAGACAAAAGTTTTTCGGAGAGACCTTTACGGTGACAAGGTGACCAGAGGAGCACGCGGTCACCTGGGGCAAACATTATATTACGATGCCGGTAGTCGTAGCGGGCTTTTCGCATATCCTGTGACCTGGTGAGACGAGACTGGGCAACTTGACGAGCCATGTGAGCCCAATCAATGGCTTCGCGAGCGTAGTCGCAATCAGATGGCTTGAGAGGTAAGGTGGTTTCAAATGGCAATATGGGGTCGCGACCAAGCAAAAGATAAAAAGGTGAGAATCCCCTGGTGTCATGTCGAGATGAATTATATGCGAAAGTCACATAGGCCAACGTGGCGTCCCAGTCACGATGATCTTCGGAGACGTACATCGAAAGCATCTCTGTGAGCGTGGGGTTGAGACGTTCAGTTAGGCCATTAGTTTGTGGGTGGTAGGCGGTAGATAGCTTATGCGTTTTGGCACACGATCGAAAAAGGTCGTCGACAACTTCAGGACGGAAAGGACGGCCGGGGTCTGTAAGCAGCTGTCGGGCGCACTGTGGTGTAAGATGACGTCATGAAGAAGAAAATCTGCGATGTCAATGGCGGAACTGGTTGGCGTGGCCTTTGTTATCGCGTAGTGAGTCGCATAATCTGTGACGACGGCGATACATTTATTTTCCAGTGTCGTCGTCGGAAAAAGGCCCAGAAGGTCGAGTCCTATGCGATGAAATGGTTCAGGGGGGACTTCAATTGGGTGAGGCTGTCCAGCTGACAGCAAAGAAAGTCTTTTCCGGCGCTGGCAGAGGTCGCAAGTGGCGATATATCGACGCACGGTGCGGTACAGTCCTGACCAGAAGAACCAACGTCGCACGGGGTCGTATGTGCGGGAAACACCAAGGTGTCCTGCTGCTTGTGCGTTATGAATTTGTTCAAGTATGGCAGGCCGTAGAGTACGGGGAATGACAAGCAGAAAACTCAGAGCCTTCAGTGCTGACGTTGCGGCGGTAGAGGATACCGTGCATTCAGCACGAACATACAGGGATTCGGCGTCACGGCTGTCAGACTGGATGGCGTCGATGATTGTGCGCACTGACTCATCCCGTGGTTGTTCAATGCGCATATCGCTAATATCAGTAAACGCCATCACACTGGTCTCCGGGTCAGTCGCAACGGAATCAGGAAGGTCCACCGTATGACGAGAAAGACAGTCTGCGTCCTTGTGCAAACGGCCAGACTTGTAGCTGACGCTAAACAAAATTCCTGAAGCCTGAAAGCCCAGCGACCCAGACATCCAGTCGGGTCCTTCAGAGAAGTCAGCCAGCAGAGGGCGTGGTGGTCCGTAATGGCGGTGAACATGCTGCCATAAAAATATGGCCAGAACTTGGCGACGGCCCAAACTAAAGCTAAACACTCTCTCTCGGCGATGGAATAATTTCCTCTCAGGGAGAGAAAGCAAGCAGGCTATCACGCACTGTCTGCCATGGTGCTGCTGAGCGAGAACTGCGCCAATACCAGTGGCCGCTGGCGTCGGTGCGAACTTTTGTGGCAGCAGAAGGATTAAAGTGGGCAAGTATGAGGGGCGTAGTTGAGCAGCCGATAAGAGCGGTGAACGCTTGAGCCTGCTCAGGGCCCCATGAGAATGTGGTATCCTTCTTCAGCAAATCTGTGAGTGTCTTGGCAACGTCGGCGAAGTTTTTCACATAACGACGAAAGTAGGAACATAAGGCCGATGAAGCTCCGGACGTCAGATGTAGAACAGGGCACCGTAAAGCTATGGACTGGCGCGGATCTTTTCAGGATCTGGTTGGACGCCATCGGCGTTTACAAGACGGCCCAGGATGGTAATCTGACAGCGGCCAAGTTGACACTGCTTGGAATTTAGTTGTAGTCCAGCTGTTCTGAATACTGCGAGAATTGCAGCGAGATGGGTCAGGTGGCTATCGAAAGTAGATGAAAAGACTATCACATCGTCTAGGTAACAAAGACAAGTAGACCACTTATACCCACGCAAGACAGAGTCTATCATTCGTTCGAATGTGGCAGTGGCGTTACATAGTCCAAAAGGCATCACCTTAAACTGGTATAAACCATCCGGTGTAATGAAAGCCGTCTTCTCACAGTCCATCTCATTGACGGAAATCTGCCGGTAGCCGGACCGAAGATCAATAGACGAGAAGAACGTAGCGCCGTGCAGGCAGTCCAACGCGTCATCGATGCGTGGTAGCGGGTATACGTCTTTTCGCGTGATCTTGTTAAGGTGGCGATAGTCAACGCAGAAGCGCGAGGTACCCTCCTTTTTCTTCACAAGGACGACAGGGGAAGCCCAAGGACTACTTGATGGTTTTATGAGACCCTTGTTGAGCATTTTGTCAACTTCCGCTTGGACAACTCTGCTCTCGGTGTGGGAAACGTGATAGGGGCGTCAGCGAATGGGACTGGCGTCACCAGTGTTTATACGGTGCTTAACGGTGGATTTTCGTCCTGGAGGTCTGTCGTCAAAATAAAAAATGTCGGTATACGACGCGAGAAGGTGATGGATGTCGTTAGCTTGCGCAGGATTGAGGTCGGGTGCAATCATCTTCGAGAAACGACTCAGCACAGAACTGATGCTGTTAGCTACAGGAGACTGAAGTAAGTCAATATCGCTGGTGTGAGCCGCTATTTCGAATTCGGCAGCAGGGGATAGGCTGGCCAAGAACATGCCACAAGGAAGCACTTGAGCGCAAAAGCTGAAATTGAGAAGTGGGAGCGAGGTACAGTTGTTAGTAACAGTCACAAGCGTATGGGGAAAGGCGAATGTAGCGCTCCAAGAGGGCATCTGCGAGAGGAAGGATAAAATATTGATCATCGGGAACCTGTGACTGTGTTGTCGAGATGACGTAGGTGGCTACTTGAGGTGACAGTCGCACCACATCCCGAAGAGTGCACAGGCGTGGCGGGGCAGTGTGGTGTTCAGCGACTATCTGAGGCAGTTCTAGCTGAAGGACGCCGGTAGCACAATCAATAAGGGCACGGTTGATTCGAGATGAAGTCTAGGCCTAGGATAACGTCATAAGGGCAAGGGTCAATCACGGCTAAAATGACAGAAGCAGTGTGGTCCTTTATACTTAAGCGGGCAGTGCACAGACCAAGAACCATCGGCGTGCCACCATCGGCCACACGGAGCATTTGTGCAGCCGCTGGTGTCAAAGCTTTATTTACACGTGTGCGTAGGCTTGAACTCATGACTGAAATACTAGCGCCGGTGTCTACAAGTGCTTGT